AAAATGTGCATACTCTACTAATTAATTTAATTTTAGACTCTCAATTCTCTAGGAGTTTAACTTGACTATTAGTATTTTATAGAATTATTTAACGATAATGATAAAGTCAGGCAAAAATAATTAATTTTCTTAATTTTTAGACATAAACAATAAAATATTATTTTATTATTATAAGAGTCAAATTAAAGATAACATTTACTATTTACTTTATTAATTATAATTAGTGGATATGAATTGATTTTCGAGAAAACTCTCAGCCAATAAGAGGATAACATTTTCCTTGATTCCTATAATTGATTCTTCTCATTATTTATCCTTTCTACCATCTCTTCTCATCATATGTTAAGTCGGCTCATTTTTACTTGTCATATTTGAACTTATATATTCATTAAAAATAATTTATAGATTAAATAATTAATACTAAAAAAACAATTTATAGATTAAATAATTAATACTAAAAAATAATATAATTTAAAAAAAATTATTCTTAATATATGCAAATTGACAATAAAAATAAAAAAATTATTTTTAAATAATGGACAAGTAAAAGACGGATGAAGTATGTACTCCCTCCGACCCTTTTGACTTGTGAAATTTTGACTTGACACACCTCTTAAGAAAATAATGATTGGTATAATGAGTTTATCATTTTACTCTTATTAATTGATAAACTTTTAAATATATTTACTCACTATATTTTTAAAAAATACTAATTTAATGTTAATAAATTGAAGGTATAATAGGAGAAAAATAATTTTAAAAAAATAATTTTTTCTTGATTTATTAAATATATTTGACAAATAAATAGAAATGGAGAAAGTATCTATGAAATTTATGCCAAATGGAAGAGGGAAAAAACAGAAGTGGACCAAAACCCACGTCTTATGATACTTATGGCAAATAGAAAAGTAAGGTTCATCATATTCTTCAATGACAGGGCAGGATTTGTAATTAAATAAAAAAGATTGGACTTTTCTTAAAGCTCTTGCTGAGGTACAAAAAACAAAGCAAGAAATACAGCTTTTTGAAGCAAGTTTATCTTGCAAAATCTTTTGTAAGACTTTAATAACATTTATGGCAAATAGAAAGTGGGACCAATCAAATTCACCATGGGCAGGGCATAGTTTGTATATATTAAATAGAAAAAGGAGGATCGATCTTTTTAAGAGCTCTTGCTTAGGTTCAAATAACAATGCAAAAGTTACAACATTTTTAAGCAAGCTTATCTTGCAATTTTTTAAAAGACTTTAATACCTCCAAACTTTAATTTAATGTCAGAAAACTGATATGTTGAAAAGGACTTAAATTGTCTCTTCTATATAAGTAAAACTAGTAGGGAGGCCCGTGCATCGCACGGGGCACGAAGCCCAACAATTTATATATTCTGAAATCTTAAATTTTATTTAATGTATAACCTTTTGTCATAAAGGGATAAAATGAAGGTGGTAGTAGTAATTGACAAGAAAAAAAAGTTAATACACAAAGGCTACTCAAATAGATATATCATGTAAAGCATAAAAAATTCACATTGTTAAAGAACTCTCACAACACATCTCATCTCATAATAATCGCAATACATGAGAAATAATTTTTAAAAGATTGACCGAATCTGTAAATATAGTTTCGAGTTAATATCTCAAAAGGTCACTCAACTTTCAGAATTTATCTAGTAAAGTCATTAAACTTTGTTTTGTATCATTAAAATCACTAAACTTAGACATTTCTATCAATAAAATCACTCAATCAAATTTATCACTAAAAAAAGTATTGGCATAGCAAAATTATTATTATTTTTTATATCATATAAATATGAATCCCACAAATAACTAAAATTGAAGAAATCTCATTAACTTTTCACTTCCTCTCACAAAACTTTTTTTTAAAAAAAAAAAAACTAAAATGTATGTGAGCTCTACTTTCTTGCCGTTTGATTTGCATTTTCTTTTATAGCATTGTAGATGGATTTGTTTTTTTATCTCTCTGTTTTGAACATATTTTGATTTGTTGCATATGTTGTAGCCTCACATGTCCGATAGTCAGAGCGTCAAGATGTCTTGCTTTCATTTGCCTCAGTAGTTGTCCAAATAAATTTCTTTAGTTGAAATCATCATTTCCTCTGAGCAGGAGTTATAGTCATCAGCTTGGTTGGTAATCATACTTTTGCCACTTCAAAAATTACAAAAAGTTTTGGAGTATTTACAAAAAACAAGAAAACACCTATCAACTAAAATAATCTGTGAGAAGCAAAAAGTAATATCTAGACTGAAATAACAGAATGCAAGAAATCAAATAGAGAAGCATTGAAGATAGGGAACCAAGGATCTAGAAATCATGAAGAAATATAGTCACCTCCATCTCTTTGTTGTCATTATTTTAAGAGCTTAGCCTGTCCTTTATTCTAATTGATAGACCATAGCTCCTGCCATAAATTTTACAAATTAAGCAAATCTTAGTCATACAAAATACCAAATCAAACTTAATTTTCATACTTATAAAAAAAAAGATTGAAAATGAATGTGATAAGTATAAAAAAGACTACATGTAAGTTGGGTGACAGAGTACTAACATGAATATATAGTTTAGTTGTTCTACACCAAAATACTTTTGGATCATTTCCTTTATTCGAGTTCTGCTAATGTGCCGTTAAATGATTAGGTCTTCATGGCCGGTAATGTTCTCTCTTTCTTTTATAATATAGATTCCAATGCATCGTCTATATGATTTTAAAGGTTCCCAATGGTACTATAATTCTACACCTAATTTTTTTTTGAATCCTCTTGTTTTTTATTTGGTTCAACTATTCTGCTATTAAAAGCGTATAACTTTATGTACTTAGTTCTCCTATTAGCTTTCATCTGACTCTTTATTATTCAGTACACCAAGAAATTATGAATCAGTTCTCCAACACAAAGCAATTCTTTCTAACTAACTAACAATTAAAGTCCAAACCTTACAACAATTTTACACCATGCCAACAAAGTAAGCCAAACAAATTGAAACAGGGAGAGTTATAAGAATTTCTCCTCAATGGTACAAGCTTCAGCATGTCAAATGAACAAATTCCTTTACTAAGGTGTCTTTGAGCTATAAAGCATGTTATCAGTGATGTCAAAGACCCAAGACCTCTCTTAGGAATTAAGTCATAGATATTGTACGCCAAAGAAAATCTTCACATTTAAATAGAAATCAAGTGAAGAAACACATAAAAGCAAATCCAGTTATATTAACAATACAACCAAGTCTTGAAATGATTGTTTTTTTTTTAAAACTCAAAGATCAACAAGGTATTTAGAGTGTCTGAAACATTTGAGATTAAAGAAATTTATGTATTTACCTTTAAGTTGAAGGATAAATCAATTACTTTGTAAAATTACTCTCACCACTGAACAACTATAAAACAACTCTTCTCAACATAAACTTATTTTACTTTCCCCTTCTAGCTAAGAAATAACTTGGTTTACCAATGACAGAGTCAACCATTAGCTCTTAAAAAGATCATGTAGAAGGGACATACATGTCAAGTTATTTACTGTTTAATTAATTGAAATTCATACCAACGTGCACGAAAAGCAGAAGTGCATAAAAGAACCATAGCCATAGAGAAAGGGAAACAAAAAAGGAATCTTAAGCTCACAACTACTCATCCAGACAATTCCACAATGAACCAATTGAATGGAATTAGGAGAATACCTTAAAAGGAAGAGCAAATGGTACTAACAACGCAACAATACTTGTTGCTCGTCAAAAGTCATTAAACCTATAGAAATCGAAGAAAACCATTGAAATTTAGTAAATAGGACTAAAATTTTCAATAGTGAAGAGAATGGAGCTCGATGTCGCAGTTATTTAAAAGATTGTACAAATGAAAAAGTAAAGATTTGGTCACCACTTATTGTTGACACAAACTGTAATCTTACAGTAGTTAACAAAGAGAAAAAGAGGAGCTTTAGAAAGCAAAAATTGATATACTAATAATAAAATATCATGTTTTCGATTCTAAAAATTGAAGCTGCCATAAAATTCTTCTAGTTGTTTGAAGAAGTGACGATTCAAATCCTTACCTCTATATGAACCACCCATTGCTCTATCAAGCAACTTTGTTGTAGTGTTCACCCATTATTCCCCTTGAACTCCAAATAACACTATCTGCATTTCGAGATCAATTGAATTCTTAACATCTAATGTCAACATATCCTTTAAAATTCTGTAAGCTTCAATTTCAAAATTTATACAAATGCAAAATTAACCTACATGCAACAATTGAGGAATGTATATTAACATTATCTTCTAAATACTAATTTAGCAGGCAAATGTGTATAAAACTACACAATCAAGAAGCGGAGGAAGATAGAGTGAAGAATAAAGCACTCAGCAACACATGGATTCAACAATAAAGCAGCGAAAAACAAATTGACAAACTCACAAAAACTAAATGAAACATAATAAGAGTGACCGATGCAACAGAGGTCAACTGAATATTTTTTTAATAACTTCCATTTACATCCACATAAGCTTCATATATCTTATACAATACGTCTGATCCCTTAAGCAATTTCTCCAACAAACTAATATAACATAATTCATTATCAAAATGTCAAGAACTTGGTGAGAGTAACAACTTTTAAGGAGAACACAAATATTAAAAATTCAATTCACAAAACTGTCAAAATAAACGACAATCAAACATGATTGATGTATTAATGTCTAAAGGATATAAATCCCAAATCAAGGCAGATTTGGTACAAAAACCAAGCATATCATACTAACACACTTTATATAATGCATCACTAAAAATTATCCTTCACTTCAAGTAGACATGCAATAGCATGTGTTATCATCTTTCATTTTTTTTATAAGGTGAAGAACATATGGTATGGCATACAGATGAAGACATAATCAACTAACACCAATTCTATCTAGGGCAACAAAAGTCCAGATTAAAAAAAAGGTTTTCTGAGGTGCAAAGTGAAGTAGAATTCATGAAACTAATGATCTTTATCGTGTAAAAACAATGGACTATACATATCGAGGAGTTCGTCACAATCATATATTATCCATATCTTCCAAACCCATATGCCCACAAATGAAAATTCAGAACCTTTTTACATTTTCTCATAAGATGTAGTTGCTTTATTTTGATAGCTAATGTCACACATCTCTCTATTTCTTCACTGTTTCTTTTACCTCTTCATTTAAAAGACAGTATGGTCTACAAACACCCAGCGTTCACATAGGAGTCGATGTGATGTAGGCAGTCTAACCTAACGAAAGCATATATAGTTGATTCCATGATTTGGGGAATCTTACTTGTAACATGTCATTGTACAGTCATGCCAATTTTTTTAAAAAAGAATACATGTTTGTCAGAACTAATAGCTGTAGAGCTAATCTTTGTAAATGTGTCGCCCTGATTTAGAGATACAAAAGCTTTGTAATGACTCGAAGCACCGAAAAGGCACACAAAAATGAAGGCAAGACAACAAATTAGTCTAACCAATTTATCATGGCACAAAATTGAATGAGTGTAAATTTACTTTTGCACGACAATTTCTTTTTTCAAAAAAGGAATAGAACACCATACCTATGAGCATCTTCTTGCATTCAATTGAGGATCATTGAAAACCCTAGCTTCCTGAAGAATAACACCCTTTTCAATCCCCATAAACAGGAAATTAAATAGTCCACGTATTGTCATAGATTTCCAATATGAAAATGCCATTTCACCACTAAAACGCATGTTGAACAAAAAAATTGTTGCCTCCTAGACTTCTAAATGAAACAAAAAGGCGTATATATAACATGAAATGAGATGAGCTACCATAAAATACATAAGCTCGACAAAGTAAAATAGTAAAAGTTGATGTTTTTCAACAATTTAAATCATAAACTTAAAAACTATGAACTTATCGTAGGAGGAATATCAATGGTTGAAATCTTTGTTAGAACATATGATCAGCCACTTTATTTTGCTAAAGAATATGACAATTTTATCTATTAATTAACATCAATTTGACAGGAGAAAATTCAGAGACCTTAGAAGCTATGAGATCCAATTTTGCTCCTTTGGAGATATGTATTGGTGAGGTGGGGTGTTTCTTCTGCTGAGTGGTACACGTGGTGTGCTAAAGAACATTGTGCAATCACACGTGTTATTAGCAGGAAAGAGCAAGGAAAATTAGTGCAGTCCAACTCTAAAGTACACTTTATGTTGCCTTTTGTACTGTTTCTTGATGCAGCGTCCGTCCTTTTCAAACTGGCATTTCTAAATATTGGTAAAATAATTATTATCAAATAAAAGAGATAAACATGAGTAGAAAAGGTAGGCAAATGTCCAAAAAGAAACAAAACATTGTAATTTAAGTGCAATACACGTGTCTGTGTGACTTGTGAGAGGGCAAAAGCTTAAAAAAGTTAAATTGTAGATAGTACATCTCATGAAACATTTGGTACTACTATATGCTGCAGTGTTCGTCCTTACCCAAGTCCCATTTCTAAATAAGGGTAATAAGGGTAATATAATAATAAATAATACGAATAATAAAATAATAAGAGAGAAGGTATTTATTTTCATACTAGACACCTCAGTCCATGCTAGAACGGGCACAAATTTTAATACATTTGTTCGTTATATAGTCTGAGCACTGGTAGTTTATTTTAGAAAAAGAGTTTCAAGAATACGAAACTTTCTTAAAAATAAATTATAGATATTTATATGGTTATAAATTATTTTATTAAATGTGAAATAAGTATTTTAAAATTAAGTTTATTACTAAAAATAAAAATGTGTCATATTTTCAATACCGATTAAAAAAGAAAGTGAATCATAAATTGGGACAAGGGAGTACTTCCGTATGTTTTTGTAATTTATGCTCACTTGTCAATTTTATATGTTAAATTTACTAAAATACAATGTTAATCAATTAAGATGAGAAATTAATTTGATATGTCATTTTCATTTGGACAACATTAAAAAAATATGAAATTCCCTATTATCCAATTGTATTTGAATGTTTGTAATAAATTAATAATTATAATCACGAAATATTTACAAAAAGATATGAAGATATGTGATTTATTAATTTTTAGCATCTTAAAATATTATGATATCTAGTTTATGAATTATCAATTTGCTCATTTGGTAATGTTAAAGAGTTGATTTTTTTTTTAATGATTTTCACAAATCATGAAAATTTATATTTATAAAAAAATATATAATTTAAGAAATTTAAAGTATATATTTAAATAAAAATTTAATTTAATTTAATTTTAATTACAAATTTTAAATTATGATTTTGAATTTATATCCAATCAACCCTAATAAGTACATGAATAATCTTTGAGGTTTCACCGACTTTATATAAGAATGAAATATTAAACTATATATATCTAACATCTATTAATATTGTATGTACCTTTTTTGTAAGAGAAACTTTTATGGAAGAATGGATGCCGATTGAGTTTACTGATTGTACAATAGCTAGTTTTTTTTGGTCTATGTCATATAATGTACCATCGATCAAGGGTAGTGTACAACAAAAAAAGACACAAACTCTCGGAGAGAAGCACCATAGTAGCACTTAAAATTACCAAATTACTCTGGCTAGGAAGCAGGCATGTTGACGAAGACCTGCTTCCTAGTCTCTTCTATAAAGTAGTAAAGTAATGTATAAAAATATATGAAATTTCTCTAAAAATAATATATCTAGAAATACTTAACAAGTATTGTTTCTATAAAGTAGTAAAGTAATGTATAAAAATATATGAAATTTCTCTAAAAATAATATATCTAGAAATACTTAACAAGTATTGTTTCTATAAAGTAGTAAAGTAATGTATAAAAATATATGAAATTTCTCTAAAAATAATATATCTAGAAATACTTAACAAGTATTGTTTCTATAAAGTAGTAAAGTAATGTATAAAAATATATGAAATTTCTCTAAAAATAATATATCTAGAAATACTTGTTAAAGTATTGTTGAAAAGTTTCAATGGTTTTGTTCTTTCTAATTTGCAAGTCAAGATCTATTAAACTATTGTATGTTTCTCAATATTGCGACGTGTCTTAATGATATTTTCTTGTATAAAATATAGCATAACATTTTTTAAGATTTATATTGATTCCTGTATTAATGATTTATTCAATGTAATATTATGAATGTTAGTTGAAAAAATAGTGTCTAACATAAAATTATCTTTACCTTAAATAAAGAGATTATTTTTGATAAATCCTAAATCATATTACAACAGGTAAGAGAAGGGAATACAATAAAAAAAGAAGTCATTGCAAAAATATCGAAAAAAAATAATAGCTACACAATAAAATAAGGAAATCCAATAAATAATATGAAAATTAAACAAATTAAAAAAAAAAGTAATAGGTACTAATATAATCGAAGAATAATATAACACGAGAGTACATAGTAGTAAAAATACTGATAAGAAAATCTATACAATGCTCTACTATCTACTACTCATTTAGCATAGTCTTAACCTTCACATATTTCTAAATGAAATCATATCCTTCATAAGTTGAAAGTGTGTTATATATTGTTTAATCATCTTTCTTCGCTACTTATTCAACTTACATCTACTGCTTTTTAGATCCAACATGACCAACTTCACACATTTTCTCACTATAAATTTGTTTATCTCATGTTATATGTCTGAATCATCTCTGATTCGCTCTCCTTGTGCATTTTAATTTTTATCCACCACAAAAGGTTGCTCTCATCTTGTTCTCAATTTTTTTTTTATTCTTAATCACATCACTCCTAATTTTCCTCACTCCTTCTCTCTCTTGCCTCTCCTCCATATCTCTCACCCTCTCTCCTTCTCTCTCCTGCCAATAAGAAGAAATTCATTCAAATGTATTATGTATCAATTGTATTTTATCAAATATAGGTGAGAGTTCTATATTTTATATCAATTGTATTCAAACAATTGTATTTGTATTTTCATAACAATTGTATTTGTATAATTCATACGAATATAATATGTGTTCATCCTCTCTATCAAATGTATTATGTATCAATTGTATCCAATACAGAGAATGATTACAGTTGTATTTGTTATATTTTGAATACAATTGATAGAGAATACAAAAATGTCATGCATTAAATAAATACATAATACAATGCAAAATACAATTCTCTCTCCGTCCTCTCTTGATCTCGCTTGCCTCTCTCATCCCTCTATCGATCTCGCTCGTCTTTCTCCTCTTAATATGTATTCATTTTGATACAAATCAATTTGTATTTGTATTTTTTTTCCCCTAAAATCTTAGAAAAAAATATATACAAAATTACAAATGCATAGCAAACCAAAATATAATTGTGAATTGTAATTAGTGAAACTATAACCTATGAAATCCTATTTAAGGCCTAATGTTTGCTATTTTTGAAAGTTTCCCAAATAAAAACTATGAAGGTCGTAATTTGGACACAATTTCAGAGACCTCCCTCTAGGTTTCGCTCTATAACACTGACCTCCCATGTGGTTTACGTTATTACGTCTACCTCCCTTATTTTCATTTTCTTGTAACTACTCTTTAAGCCTATTTAAAATAAATATAAATTAATTTAGATTTGACATTTTTACCCTTCTATATATTAATAAATATTATATAAAAAAAACTCATTTAACAAATACTTTAAAAATAAATCAGCACAAATAATTTTTCTTAAGAATTAAAAGTCCTCTTCTCTTCAAACTTCCACTTTATCAGTCTTGTTCAAATTTTCTCCATTCTTCTTCGCAAGAGTCAGCCATCTTCCCTGCAAAAGCAAGCAAATTAGGTATTTTTCTACAAATCTCATATCATCACTGTTGCAATCAACGATTATGTCGTCACATTAGAAATTACAAATTCAATTGCTTTGAGAAACTCTCCATTATTGACCACTCATGCAAGCATAGATCTAATTTTCAACGATTTATCTCTATTTCTTGGATCAATTTTCTTCTTAGCTTGTGGAAATGTTTATCTAGAACAAAATTTGATTTTTCTTATCGGATTTGTCTCTTGGGGTTATATTCGATTTGAAGAAATTGTTGTCAGAAAATGATGGGTTATTGTGGGGGAAAAATCACCAATGAATTGGTGAAGGTGAAATGAAGATGAAGAGTTAATATTTGGTGAAAATGGTGGATCAGCTTGAACGAAGACTTTGATCTTTGTTTGATAAAAAAAAACACGTATATATATATATATAATAGTATTAATGTATTTGTGCTGATTTACTTTTTAAAGTATTTGTTAAATGAGTTTTTTTATGTATAATATTTATTAATATGAAGAAATTAATATATAGAAGGGTAAAATTGTCAAATCTAAATTAATTTATATTTATTTTAAATAGGTTTAAAGAATGGTTACAAAGAAAATGAAAATAAGGGAGGTAGATGTAATATCGTAAACCACAGGAAGGTGAGTGTTATAGAGTGAAATCTGGAGGGAAGTCTCTGAAATTATCCCTATTTTTTAATAATATATTGTAGTAAAATTTCCACTCCAACTTGATTGCATTTTCCGAGTTCAAAATTTTGGGTTTTCAAGTACAAATAATTTTTCCCTCTTAAAACATTGATATATTTTTAAAGTGAAATATATATATCCAAATATAACCAAATTCAAGTGTCATTTTTCACCTTTAATTTTAAATAATTTTATTCTTTTTTCAAGATTTAATTAAATCTTTATCCAAACAAGCAAATAAATTTAATGTAATAGCTCAAATAGTAATATGCTTAACATAACGAAAATCTCACAACAACTCTATAGATATTTTTCAATAAATTATGGCATTATATTATATATAATATAGATAGAATAAAATATTTTTAAAAAAAATAACAATAGGATCGTTCAAAACATTATTAGCTTTTAATTTTAAAAGAGAAAATGGCCAAAATCCCCCCTAATCTATATTCGAATTTCCAACTACACACTTTAACTTTACGGAAGTCCTGTCACTCCTGAAGTGTTTAAAACTGAAATTAATACCTTCATGAATGCTTAACTGGCAAAGAGAGTGTATTTCACTCTCTCAAAGAGAGTGAACACAAAAAACAAGTATTAAAACTTTATTTTTAATATCTCTTTTTAAAATATATGTATTTTTATTTCTTATTTATTGTATTTCTTCTCCATAGCAACCAAATTCCTTCACTGGATTCACCATTGTTGATTTCACACAAACTTTTAAAGTCTTATGTAAAAAACTTTTAAGAACCAATCAATTCAATTGAAGAAAAAATGACATGTATTTATATCATCCAAAAAAGAGATTTGGATCAGATTTGAAAAAAAATATTAAATTGGGTTTACATCAAATTCAAGTGAACTCCCAAATGAGAATGCTTTTTATTTTTTTATTTTTCTCTTTGCTGCTCGACCAGCAGCCACCATTGTTGCATCCTCCGGCAAAACCCCTCCTCCTTCGGATCCTTTTAGTTTGTTTTTCAAGGTTCTCCGACAAGCAAAACTCGAATATTGCTTGACAAGCTCTTGCTATCAATATTTATCTTTGTTCCTCACAATTCAATAGGGATTTGAAAGAATTGGGTGAAGAATTTACTTTAGGAATTTGAAGAAATTGAGAGAGTATAGGAGAAAGTGGAAAAGAATTATAAAAAAAATAAATTAATCAATTTCCACATGTTAAGTTCACATGCCAAGATAGATGTGGTTGTGGCTTTTTAAGGGTGTAATTAATACAGTTTTAAACAGTTCAGGTGGGTGATAGAACTTCCGTAAAGTTAAAGTGTATAGTTGAAAATTCGGATATAGATTAGGGGGGCTTTTGACCATTTTCTCATTTTAAAATTGTAAATTTGAATCAATAATTTTAATAGAAAAGAGTCAAAACTACCCTTAGACTATCCAAAATAGCTTAAATATACCCTTAAACTATATTTCGGCTCAAAAATACCCTTCCCGTCAAACTATTGGGCCACACCAACCCTTCTAGTTAACGAAAGTATCCATGTGTGTGTTAAATACCACATGGACGCGCCAAACACACCCCACTGCCATATAGACGAATTAAATCCCTAATTTCACTCTTTTCCCCCTCATTTCATCCTTTCTCTTAGAAACAATACTTTCGGTATCACATTCCAACATTCCTCCTTCCGTTTCTGAGCTCTCCATTCCTTAAACAAGAATCTATACAATCTATAAACTGCTAAAAAGATTATCAGTTCCTTCTTTCATTTTTTTTCTCGCCAAAACCAATCATGTACTATAATTCTAAATCAGTAAAACATAAATACATTTCAAATTCATGGAAACCATAAATAGTTGGGGCCACCAACTCACCTACCCGTCTTCAAATCAACAAAACTCAACGATCAAACATAGATTATAAGGGGCTTTGATCGCTCACCCACTGGAAAAGAAAAGACACAAATGGAATTGAAGAAGTGCACAACATGAAGATCTAATAGAAAAAAAATGAAATCTTAGTGTAACATCTCACAACTAGAAAGAACTAGAAGGAAGTTTAAAATCTGGAAATAGTTACTTTTGGAAAGAATGAGGAAATCTGGAAATTTTTAAGCAAGTTAAAGTGAGTTTTTGGTCAACTTCAAACAGCCATAATTCCTAGCTCAGAATGATTTAAGTGTGGTTCCAGATATGGTTGGAAAGCCCTTGGAATGATCTTTCCAACGCCTCCAAGTTTGCGCAATTCCGAGTTCGTATGAGTGAGTTATCCCCTTTGAAAGTTGGGTTGTTGTATTAAGGAAATGTCCAATTCGGAAATTTAAGAGGTATTTTAGTCTTTTCATTGCCCTATTATTTTAATCTGTTTTTAGGAGTTTTAATATGGGTCAAATCAGATTTTAGTCAGTTTTAGAATTTGGGATTTCACGCTAGGGCTAAGGAGAAGAGAAAAGAAGGAGAAAAAGGGCAAAATTCAATCAAGATTGATCAAGAAAGTTGGTGTTTCGCCAAGGATTTACTTCTATCATGTATGTGAGATCACATAGCATTGGGTTACTTCACCCACGCGCCAACCATGATTCAATTTAGCGAATTTAAGTCTTTGAAAGTTTAGAAATTGAGTTCTTGATAAACATTGTTGAAGGTTTCGTTTGAATTCTTATGGGTTGTGTTGTTGAAGTTTCTTGCGCTTTGATTCATGTTTTTCAGGTGTAATTTTGGTTTGAATCTACCATATATTAAGAGTATAAATGATTCTAAGTGTTTGGGGAAAGAACTAAGTGAAATTAGAGGGTTTAGAGTTGAAAAACGAAAAAGAAAATTCAGGATTTTCTAGGAAAGGGGCTGGGGCACCGCGCCTCTCAGCGCTCCCCAAAATAGTCTCTAAATGTGGGGCTCTAGGGCGAAGCGCCTGCCAGAGCGCCCCAAAGTGTTCTCTGAATTTTGAGGGTTGGCGCCCCGCGCCTCTCAGAGCGCCAGGGACACCAGTTCATCCCATTTGTTCCCCACCTTTTCGTACTTGTTTCTTAGCAATGTACTTATGTTTTCTAGTTGATTCCAACACTCTAAGGTACATCTAAACATCATGAAATCATCCATAATCATGAGATCATGAACCTTGAATCCATAATCCAATTCAAGGAAAGTTAAGATCAAAAGTCAAGAGAAGTAAGAGTCAAGTCAAGAGAAGTTCTTAGAGTTTTCCAAAAGTCTTTTGCAAACGTTTTAACCTTGTTTTAAGAATTAAGTTTTGAGTTCAGTAAAAAGTAAAGTTGAAGTTCATTTCTTCAAAAGTATATGGGGACTAAGTATTCCCAAAGAGATTTAAAATGTTTTCATATTTAAATAAGAACGGAAACTGAGATTTCCAAAGAGCCTTCGGGCTAGTTTTCAGAAAAAGTAATCGCTTTCTAAATGAAGCAAGAGGGGAAACTTTGATTTCCAAGATAGCCTTTGAGCTAAGTTTTTGAGCACTAATCTCAAATCACAGAAGAAGTATGTTTTTAAATATAAGAGCTAGTATATTTTGGGAGTAGTATTAAGCACCGAATTAAGGGCGAGCATGAGTTCAGATAACTCACGTCTCTATAAAACCATGTAGCCACCATGGGTAGAAAAGGATCAT